ACTACTTAAGAGTAGGTCTAGTATTTCCCCTTCCCTCATTGGTTCCATAGCCAACTGCTGAGACCACAGTCATTTATAGCATCTAAGAATTTTATATCTCTGCCATGGTTTCAACACACATTCACCCATTCAGTGTGTGGGTAATTGAAATCCCCCATAATAACAAGGCTTCATTTTCAGGATGCCTGTCTGATTTCCTCTCCATCTTCAGATCTCTCTGAGCATCTTAGTTAGGGGGACACTAATATACCTCCAGTATTAACCTACTTTATGACCTGATATTTTATCCAGAGCAATTCTGTCGGATGATCTGTCTCTTTGGGGATGTCAAGATAACGTGATTAAGTGACATATAAGGAGACACCTTCTCCATTACACCCTTCCTTGTCTTTCCTATAGAGTTTGTAACCAGGAATAACCATGTCCCACTGATTTTCCCTAGTCCACCAGGTATCAGTTATGGCCGTAGTATCTATACTTCCTTCTAAGATCAGGCATTCCAATTTGCCCACTGTGGCCTGCAGGCTCCTAGCAATTTTTGTACCAAGCATCTTTCACAGTATTATTTCAATTCTTTGATTTGTGCCATATTCCCTTGTTTCATTTGGCCATGTTGAAAAATCATGACATCTGACTACATTACCCTCTCCTATTTCTCTCACTTCTCCTTTAGAGCAGACATAATTCTTTTCAACTCCTTCCCTAAACAATGACTGCTTCCTAACTGGATGCCCCTCAGATTCTGCCATCTTTCCCACCACCCTCAGATTAACAGCTGCTCTGCCATTCTTTTTAATTTTAAGCACCAGTGGTTTGGTCCCACTTTGGTTCAAGTGGAGCCCATCCCTCCCATACAGGTCCAACTTTGCCCAAAAGATTCTCTCGTGCCTAAAAAGTAGGAAGCCATCCTCTAGTAACTATTGACACATCCATGCAGTGAGACATTTCAGCTGTCTTCTAGCTGGCTTTGCACATGGAACAAGTAATACCTGGAGGTTCAGCTTCCTGCCTAGCAACTTCAATTTAGCTTCCAGGACCTCCTGACTACATTTAAGAATGTCACTGGTGCCCAATTCTATGTTGGGGTGTGAGGGAAAACATACAAGTTTCTGTAATATATCATCTTTAGGCAACCGTCATTTCTTTGACTTAAAAACATGCTTGGCTAAAATGTCACTACAAGGTTGAATCCAGCTTTCTAGGGACAGAAAACAAACAAACAAAACTAGGGAAGTGTCTTGTCATTTATGGATTTTCTTTAAAGTAATTGCTTTTTGGTACTAGCAATGCAATCCTATTTGAATGATGCTACATTAGAAACATTTTTCTGGAAAAAATCTTTTGGCAACTCTGTTGGTCTCCCTTCCTACAAAACAAATGCTAACCATGCTTCCGTAATGATACTATATAGCATCATTCAAATGTATAGAGAAATATGTGGGGGTATTATTATACTTATAAATAATAGTTTGGGTGGTAAATGCATAAACACATAAAGATGACATTCTTCTCATTATGAAGATGCAATGATTTAATAATGACATTTTCCTGAAAATCAGGCATAATGAAATGTGATCTCTTTTCCCCATAAAGGCTGAAGTAATTTTTCATTGCCTACTTTTAAAGAAAAACATAAAATACACACACCAATAAGTATGGTTTTCATTCTCACTTCCCTAACTAAAGGGGATATTTATCACCATTTTGAAATTGTTTCTTTAAGATAAGCATTGCCTCCTATGAACTAAGATTCTTTTAAGTTTTCAGAGACTGGTAGTTCTGAAGTTTACCTCTTCTAACACACTTCTCACTAACTCATGGGATTCCAAAAGAAAGTACAATATTGTTGCAAATAAGTAGAAAATAATAAAGGTATGGTAGATATATTATAATATATATTATATTAGTACTATAATGTAAGTCTCGGTGGTGTTGTGTAGTGAATGTTAGCACAGATTGTACCAAAGAACTGAAATTAACAGTCATCCACATGCTGAGAAATCTGATTGCACAGGGTTCCTCTTCATGTGGAACATTGCAACTGTGCGCCAGCCAAATATGGTTATAATCTGTGGTGGGAAGCAGTGCAGTCACAGTTAGAAATTCCAATCTTGTGGAATACCTTCCTGTTGGAACCAAAAAAAAAAACCTTTGACTGCCAAGGAAGGCTCTGTTTTCTCTGCCAGGCAAAGAAGAAATGGTCACAGAGGTACAGAAACCCATGACTAGATGGGAAGGATAGATTGGATCAATTGGAGCTCTGCAGGTTGCCAACCTCCCTCAGAATCAGAATAGAGGAGGGCGTGTACTTTTTTCTGCTGGAAGCTGCCCAGAGTCATTGGAACTTGGGTGGCATACAAATTTAATTGATAAATAAATAAAGCTGGTCCCAAGATAGAGGCTCCAGTGTGATGACCTATTCTCAATTACCATCTCAGAGCTGGGATAAGGAGGCTCTGTGGACAAGCACATCACTAATCTCAGGCTCTTCTTTACTCCTAATGAACATATGCATGGATCTCTTGGGTGACTCTCCTCCTGGTGGGAAGTAACTAGCTAAGTACTTAGCTCTATCTATCCCCATCATGTATTTTCTTTCTTGTTTTTCTGTTAAAGTTAAAATCCCGCTTCACTAATCCTTCCCTAGGCTAGATTCCTGTTCTTAGGGACGCTCATACACATGGAGAGATTCATTTTCTCTGACACCACTGTCACAGACAAATCACTACTTGAAGAAGTTGAACCTTCAAACTACCTATAACCTCTGCTGGAGTAGAAAATAAATGTGACTGATTTCCTCTGAGGCTGTGAATCCAGAACATTTTCTGAGCCCTTTTAGGGAATTTGTTGCAGCCAGTAGTCCTAATAAGATCTTCATCTCCACCAGAAAGATTGGAGATGATCACTCCCAAATGTCTTTGATTAAACCATAAAGCTTGTCTTAGCTTCTTGGTATTCTGGGGAGTTGAGGTTAATGAAACATTTGGGACAACAGCTAGAATGTAGATGTCATAAAATGTCTTGCAAACATGATCAATTACAGATAAGAACTACAACAGAGAACCTCAGAGGTGTTGGATCTCTGTCCATGTGTAATTTATACCTTTTATTTCCCTTAGACTCTATCCAGATACCATAGCACAGAGAAAGATTTGAGAAGCAGCTAGACACCAGAGATCTATTAAAGTCATTGTTAATAAGGCTTCTGCTGATTGAGCTAAGGAAAGATATATACTCCTTCTGTTAACTACATTACAGGCTACTCTTATCCAAACACTGGTATCTGACAGTGCTTATCAGATCGTAACCCTTCATGGTGGCAGTGAACCTATGGAGGAATGGCTGAATTGGTTGATTTAGAGTGCTGGCAAAAAAATAGCTCATCCTCTCTGACAGAGACTTACCCAAACTGTGTACTGTAGTTTGGGAGTTGAAGGCCACATGTCTGGAAACACCCAAACTGGGAAATGCTAAAGGCAAAAGCAGTGTTACAGCAATGTCTTATGACACTACATGAAGTATCTGTCTTATGACTCTTGAAGCCTGCCTTTGATTCACAGATCTAAGAATAATCAAGTATTCTAAAAATTACTGTAGATTTTCTTTATTAGAATACTTCCAAAGTATTAGAAGGCAATGAACAATACATATATATCAATAATATCTCAGAAGGGATTTTCTGTCTTCTGTTTTGACCCTTTCTGAATGCCCCTGTCAAACTACTGTTTCTTAGCAGTTTTTTTTTTTAAAAAAACTCCATTACTATTCATAAGTTTGGATGGCAACTGTTATCATTTCTTCCTTGCCTAAGTGTTTAGACTCCTTGCATTGACTTGGTTTACAAAACTATTCTATGTAACTGTGTTTGTTACACAGCTGTTTCTACTTTGTTCCTGTTTCCAGGACCAGAGACCTCCACTTCTTTTCCTGACCCACTTTATAATTTCATTTATGTAGTGAGACCATTCCTTTGTTTTGTGGGCCAAAGAAAATATCTTGTTTCCTGATAAATCTCAGTCTAAACCCTGGTTCCATATTCAATACTGATAATCTGTAAATTCCCTTAAGTATTCTCCTTTTCGTATTCTGTGAAAACCACAACCTCATTGTGAGTTACCTGCTTTGAGAATGAGTATGAGGGTCAAACAGGGAACCTATAACTTATGAGAAATTACTATTTACTAGGTCTATGAAATGTGCCTTGCATTTAGGCCTCCACAGGCATTGCAATATGTGAGGTGAGTGCAATGATGATGCAATTTGTCTTACTGAGACACTTCACTGTGATTCTGGGCTTTCTCTGGCATTTCCATGGACAGAAGCCTCTTCCAGCTCCTGGACATTCTGGAACAGGTCCCAAAATTAACATAAATTCAAACAACACAGTGCATTCACTTTACTGTTTAGAAGCAGGGGACCATGTTGTTTCATGAAACCACTTTGAAGGAGCACTTCACTCAAAATAACTTTGAAGCAAATTACCCTTGCAAAGCTTTTTATTGTTGACAGCTTTATAGTTATAGTATTGATATAATATTCTTCATAAATCTCATTATTTATCTAATCAATCCTGCAAGGTCCATTTGACACTTTCTTGGTTTTTGCAACCAGCAAAATAAATCAGGCAAGTTGTTCCAAAGTATTAGAAGGCAATGAACAATACATATATTTCAATAATATCACCCTTCCCCCAAACCCTCTTTATATACCACGTTTTGAAGAAATTAGAGAAAAAGATTCTAAATCAGTTTGCTCCATTTAGTAATAATTTGTATTTGAAGACTAGATCATTTTTAATGGAATGTCTATTTTTTCAATGGAATGTTTTGTCCATTGTTTCATTCACTGCTTTATAAATTAATAATGTTTGTTATCAATCAAATGTTTTATCCATGGCACTGTATGCAGGGGAAAAAAAATAGATGAGTAGAATGTACATGACTGTTTCACTTCATTCTCTCCTCATTCAGCAAACCAAAGGTTTGAAAACAGTGACCTACCTCGTTCACATGATCTGCCCAGGTAGCCTGTACCAGAACAATCACAGACATATCTGTTCCAGCCATCTCTACATACTCCATTGTTTTTGCAAGGGTTGCTTAGACATGGCTTTGCTGTTTCTCTTGAACATGAGGGTTTCACCCCAGATGTGCTCTGGATTTCTGCCATTTGACGGATATCTTTGCTTTGACCATCAATAAACAAGTCTCGAATGCAGCCCACATAGCCATAATTTAGAAGGGCTGTCCAGACCTCTGTTGGAAAGACAAGGCCAGCTTTATTTTCCGGCAAACCTCCAAGGTACAAATCATCATCTAGGTCCAAGATCTCACTTTCTCCTGGTGCAGTATACGGAGTACGCATCGTGTTGACAGAAATAGTACCTATTTAGGAACAAAGCATAAGTAATTTATTTGAGACAATATCCTTTAACCATTTATTATTGGCATTTATATTCCATTTCCTAGCCAAAATCATGCCCCTACCCCCAGTAATTTTAATAAATATTTGTTAAGGTCACATGTATTTCTTTGTGGAAAAATGGAAACATGAATATTTTTTTTAAAGAATAGAAATAACCCATTCAGTTGTTATAAAAATTAATCATGTGGAATGAATCATAGTTCTATAGTTCATTCATTTGTTTTATTGGCTTATAAAAACAAGGTAATTTTCTTCAATATGTTTGCAAGAGGGTATATTGATTTTCTAGCATGGTAGGTATTATTCAAGATTGTGTGATGAAACCAGTCCAATTACTTTATAGTATATAATTTGCTCATCTGTATTTATTGGTATCAAGATGGTACATTTTGTACTATGCTTGGGCCATATTTGGTTCTTTTTCTTCTAAGAGATAAGACCATTAATCAATCAGTCAGTCAATCAATGCATGAATACTTATACCATGTGAATGGGAGACAAAAATTACAGACAGCAAACTTCTAGATGGATTTTTCTTTGTTACTAATGGACAAATGGATTACTTAATGAATGCATGAATATAATTTTATGAAATTGGAAACAAATAAACAAATAAAACAGAAGGGGAAAAAATCCCAGAAAAATGAAATGACTGTTTCCTCATGTATTACTACTGTATAAAATAACTTAAAATGAAAAACAGCACTGAAGAAGCATCCAGAATCAATAAGAACAAATTAAAAAGTAGCCAGTATAAGTATGGAAAAAGGACATGATGGAATGTCAGTTGAGGGACCCACACTCTGCACTCTTAGTGAGATGATACCCAAATCAGGGCCTCCACTGCTAATTTCAGGACACATGAGTGGGGAAAAGAGCACTAGGATCAAAACATGATCTGACAATTTCCAGCTGCTTCTTACATTGAAATTATTTGATCTTAAATATTTAATATGAATTTCAAACTGAGTATTCCTCTGTTCTAAGCACATTTCCACAATTCATCTCTTCTGTTCTTGGGGGACACATAGAGCAGCAGTAGATGAACAATCTTTGACTGAGGTTGCCATTTGAAACCTTCAAAATCTGTTATTTTATTTATTTAACATTTATAACACAGCCTGTTCTTCCTGAAATCCTGAGGCAAATAAGAACTGATCAAAAATGAGACATCTGAATAAATCAATCTCCTTTTTCCTAAAACTTTTTTTCTAATTGCCTGAACAGTTTTATTTTCATCAAAGTTTCTTAAATAATAGCAACGTCTGTTCAAAGACATTTGTCTAAAGCTATGCCTCTCAGGCCAGAGTAACCATTTTGCAAAAGAGTTAGTTCCTCTACACAGTTTATAAAACTTCAATAAAACCTAAACTTTTGAACATTTCCCTAAATCAAAGCTGCAAACCTAAATATTGCCAATTATATAGCCAGGATTTCTAAATCTTACTTTCCTAAAAGTAAACTGTTGAAAATAGTTTCTGAGGAGACGTGCATAAGGCTGTAATAGAGTTGAACTATTGATTAGCACTGTATACTTGCCATCAAACTATGCCAAACACAGGAAAAAAATTGTTTACAAAACAGAGAAAAATGAAAGAAGCAGGATCTAAGTCTAAATCTTTTTGATTTTCAAAGTACTGTATATATTTTAATTCAGTTTGTCCCAGTGTTTAAACATAACATCATCAAATCTTTACTACAGTCAAAGACCAGCATACGGAGGGTTTGGTACAGTCAATTAAAAAGCGTTGAAAATACATCAGTCAATAATAATAATAATAATAATAATAATAATAATAATAATAATAATAATAGTAGTAATAGTAATAATAGCTAAAAGATATAAAACAGAAAGTATGTATCTAAAAGGAATCTAAAAGGAGGGGTAGGAGCACTAAATGGGTGTGAGGGAGCATAAAGGTTAGTATATAGTAGACTATATCAAATTACAGAACACTCTAGTATGACAAACTAGATGCTCATTAAGACTAGTTTATGGCACAGGTCATCATCTGACAAATTTTAATCACTGCTGCACAGAACCTGGCAACATTGTAGGTTGTAACAGGATTGGTATCTGAAAGCAGCAGGGGGATTTAGAATTGTCCTGTGTGCCCTGGATATTTATGCAATAATGGTGAGATGAGGCTAGCATGAATGTCTCTGTAGTACAGGCATTGGAGAAGCACATGCTCTGTTTTTTCTGTGTGTCCAGAGTCACAGGGGCACTGTCTCTCTGGGTAAGGAATCTTCCTGTATTGGCCTTCAAGGACAGCTGAGGGGAGGGCATGGCATTGTGCCAGAGTAAAGGCCCTTGGGTGGTTAGGTACTTCGAGTTTAGTTAAGTATGTCATAGGGGAAGCAGAGAACCTGTTGGATTCACTGGCAATAAAGGTTAGGGACCTGGCTATATCCAATTGGTGCTCTGTGTCTGCTACTTGCTGTTTAATGAGTGTTTTGGCCTGGTCATATCCCATGCTGAGTAGAAGACCTGGAGAGAAGCCCAAGGATGAAATTTTTGTTACTACTACTTATTTCCATGTGGACTGAAAATCATCCCTCATGGTTAATGGAGCAAGGCCAAGGGGGAAAAAGGATAGTCTGAGCCAATAGTTGACTATGGTCACCCACAGTCTAGCCTCCACTTTCATGAGGCCTTTCTCTAGTCTCAAGGTGGCATTAGAGAGACTTTTGGGGACTTGAAGGGCCGATCTCAGAAAATTGGATTGTACAAGTTCTAATGGTACAAAATTGGAGAAAGGGCCCAGCTGGACACCATAAAAAAGTTTGGTTTGGCTTCAAATAATTTGAGTGCTGCAGGAATATAGCATG